ATAATTTTCTGTATTTTGTATAAAGACATTGATAGAATAAAGTAATAGTAATATATGGATCCATATAGTAAGCCAGTAAGTAATATATGGATCCATATCTAGAGGCAATAAATAATATATGAATCAATAACTAAAACAAAGAACAGGATCGATGGACTATTTAAAACAAGGTGAGAGAGATAAAGAGGGAAAAGGAAAGAGGGGATAAAAAAAGACTCTAGGATATACCAAGACAGAGGTTTTGCCCTGAGCTACACCTGAATGAGAATTCACTAATTTCTTAATAAGGAGGAATTGAATTTAACATTGGAACACTATCTATTTCTTTGATATTATATGTATAGATTTATGCTTAAGTTAACAACTTAGTAAAGTGAATGTTGTTTCTCCCATATTGTGGATTAAGTCATTCTTAACAAATAATTTTGTGGTCTTTAAGGAGTCCCAGATCAAATCCATACTTGGGTCACTTGCTTGCAATAGGTACCTTAAAAAAGTTATATTGAAGATTCTGTTGCTAAGCTAAGCAGCACCACCTGAAGATCATTGCCTTGACAAGGATAATCACTCTTGGATGTTCTAGACATTGCAGAGGTACTTGATGGGTGACATGTATGGACCCTTTCTAGGAGCCTGATTAACATATATTTTTCCAAACACTTAGTAGAGATGAGAGTTGGCCACATAAACCTTAGTTATATTCATTACATCCTAGGCCAGTTTATTCTTTCATTTAGTGAATATGTATTGAGTATAGACTCTGCATCAGGGGCTGCATAAAGTGCTGGGAGACCATGTGAATGCCTATCAGTGTATACTTTTCAAAATGTTGAAAACATAATTCTCATTAAAAACAGTGAGCACATATCAAAGTTGTATTTGAGTCATTCATGAGGGATTCATCAAGATAATCAAGATGGTTCAAAGAAATATGCAAGAGAAAAATAAATATATACTATATACACATACATGAATACACATGTATATGTAGAAAATGAGAGAGCCATATAGAGGAAGAGTCAGTTTAACAAAACAAAACAAAAATTCTGGAATAAGATTTCTAAATTGGATTTTTAAAACAGTCAATTTCTACAGTATAGTAAAACCATAATTTTTGTGGTAATAATTCTCTCAACTAGACAAAAATCATTTACATATGATTAGTTTCCCACAAGTTAAGCCCTAACTTTACAGAGTATAGCCCTTAATTAAGGTAAATAGTACGTCAAATGAAACCAATTGACCCATGGACAGGCTTATTACCCAATGCTCTATGACGGAAAGAACATGCAGTCATCCTTTTTTCCTTATTTCTAAGTTTTGGGTGATCTTTCTTCACATGATGAACAAAAGCCAACACAGTTTCTACCCTCAAGGATCTGTCACCTAGTCACATTATCATTGCATTATCGATTGCACAAATAAGTGCAGATTTCAACTGTGTTGAGAGCTGTGAAGGAGAGGTACATGACGGTTACGAGTGTTTATAACAGGGATTTATCTAAGCAGGGGATCAGGAAGGCACCAGTTAGGAAGGAGACACCAGAAACACTAGGGAATGTTGAGCAGTAGTGAACCAGATGGGCCCTCTTTTCATTCCTATCCACACATCTCCCCATGCATGTGCCGATTTCTCTCACACATACACATTCAGTTCTTCCTCTCCTCAAAAATTCAGACCAGAGATTTCACTTGGAGAGCACACAGACATCTCATGTTTTACATGTCCAAAGCAGAATTCTCAGTCCTGCTCACACCAAACATCCACTCTTCTCATAGCCTTTCCGCTGTAGTAAGTGACATCACCATCCATCCAATTGATCAAACCAAATGTTCAGGGATTCATACCGATCTTTCTCTTTCCCTCCCTCCCCCTACCCCAAAGCAGTTTGTCAGTTAACACTGCCTGTTCTTCCTTATATGTATGGAGGGGTTGGGATACATATCTGGAATTTTAGTTGTACCTCCAGTGCCTACAACAGTGCCCTACACGTAGCAGGTGCTAGAAAATAATTTTGAATACATGAACCTGCAAAGAGGGAAAGGATAATCACTCAGGCAAAAGGAGACAGAGGAGCATAAAGGACCAAAAAAAATTCAGCGTAGTAAGAAGCTGGGAGCACAGAGAGCAGGAGGGGGCAGGGTGAAAAGGACAGCAGAGAGCGAGAAGCCACCAGCCCACACAGCACTTGGAGGGATTTCAAGGAGTTTCATCTTCATCCAAAAACTAATGAGAAGACAGACATAGGGCTGAGAAAAGGATAATATACTAGTGATCTTGAACTCAAACTGAAAGAAACTTAATAGAAAAAAATAAGGCCACTGCTATAGCGATGGGTCCTCGGGTACAGTCAGAACAGAAATGCAGTGACCCACATCAGTTCATGTCTCTCCCCATGACACGCACAGGCATCATCACTTCCAACCCCACCACTATAAAGTGAACCACAGCCCAAGAAATGAACTTTCACTTCTTCCAGTGCATCATGCTGCTTTCCAACTCAGGCCCGCCCTGCATACGGTTTCCTCTATGTATAAAGCTCTTCCAACTTCCAACTCATTTGCCTAGTTAACTCCTTTTTTTCCCTTCATTTCTCTGCTGAAACCTCATTTCCTCAGGAAAAGCCTTCTCGGACCCTCTCCTCACACAATACTGTGTCAGAGCCCACTGTTATAGTTCCCTGAATAATTGCCTAATTACCATTATTTCTTTCATAGCAGTAATCACAGTATCACATACGGTTGAAAATAAAAGCTGTTAGACTGCATAGCATCCCAGATTTTCTACGTGGTAGCTGTGTAAACATAGGCAAATTATACAATCTCTTTGAGGACTTCAGTTTCATCATCGTAAAACATGAATAATAATAGTCCCTACTTAATTTTTTTTTTTTTGAGACAGAGTTTCACTCTCGTTGCCCAGGCTGGAATGCAATGGCACAATCTCAGCTCACCGCAACCTTCGCCTCCTAGGTTCAAGTGATTCTCCTGCTTCAGCCTCCCAAGTAGCTATGATTACAGACAGTCACCACCACCCCCAGCTAGTATTTTGTATTTTTAGTAGACGGGGTTTCTCCATGTTGGTCAGGCTGGTCTCGAACTCAGATGATCTGCCCACCTCGGCCTCCCAAAGTGCTGGGATTATAGGCGTGAGCCACGGCACCTGGCCTACTTCAATTTTAAGAATATTGAATAACACACACAAAATGCTTAGCATAACTACTAGCATGCAATTATGCATTCAGTAAATGTTAGCTATCATCATCATTATATTACAATTTGTAATGATATATTTATCCATATGACTAAGTAATGATGCCTCTCACTTCCATCAGACTAGCATCTCCATTAAGGAAGGAACGACGAGGGCTTACTCCAGCAGGGTACAGTGCCTGGCTCAAGTAAGAACTCAATTAATATTAGTTGAATGAACAGATGTACAGTCTTTTCTTGAATGGAAAATTAATTGCCCTGTAATATTCCTTTGTTGGACTGTACCTAGAAACACTGGAGTCTGGCATTGCAAGATGCATTTTGCAGTTGTGACTTACAATGATGATTGTCTAAGTCTGTTCCAGCTACTATAAAATTACCAGAAATTTAGAAGGCCGGGGACGGCAGCTCATGCCTATAATCCCAGCACTTTGGGAGGTTGAACCAGAAGGATTGCTTGAAGCCAAGAGTTGGAAGCCAGTCCAGGCAACACGCAAGATCCTATGTCTACAAAAAAATGTTTGAAAAATTAGCCAGACGTGGTGGTACGCCCAGAAGCAGGGTATGCACCAGCTATTCAGGAGGCTGAGGAGGGAGGATTGGTTGAGTCCTAGAGTTTGGAGGCTGTGGTGAGCTATGATAACGCCACCACACTCCAGCCTGCATGACAGAGATTCTATCTATAAAAAATAATAAGTAAGTAAATAAAGGAAATTAAGAAAACATTTCTAGCAAGCATTACTACGAAAGATGATTTGGTGCTGGAATAGATGTATTCATTCAAATGAATTTTATTGAGTATCTAATATGTTCAGTATGCCTAGGCACTGGGGATGGAGCAAGAAATCAAGCAGATCAAAACCCCTGACCTAATAGAGTTTTAATTCAAGTGGATAAGAATCTTGTTCAATTTTTTCTTAAGTGTCAGATACATACATTTCTTTGTACCCCATGCTTTTCCTTTTAATTTGCAGTCATGTGAACACTTTTGTAAGTCTAAACTAAGCCATTTGTAAACCAGTCCACGTGTCATTCTCCTCCTGTTAGCCTGCAAGTCAAGTCTTCAATTCTTTCCACAGCCCCTGCAGCACTCAGCTCATTACTTAGAGCTCTCGGCACTCACGTGCAATCTGAACTCAAGCAATAGGCTGTGCGGGCTCCATGAAAAAAGAAAAAGAGAGCTCATGTTCCACCGAGTTTGATTCAGGACAAGGAAATCTAGAGGCCATTTGGATCAAGTGCGGAAACCTGTGGAGGAACCAGCCTCTAGCAAACATGAGAAAGTTACATGACTGACCCTTTTCTGTTTTTCTTGAGACAGGGTCTGTCTGTCTCCCAGGCTTACGTGCAGTGGCACAATCATGATCACTGCAGCCTCCATCTCCCAGGTTCTGGTGATCCTCTGACCTCAGCCTCCCAAGTAGCTGGGACCACACGTGTGTGCCACCACCCCCAGTCCCTTCTTATTCTTTTAAATTCCTCAGCAGGGCTCTCGTTGAAGTGACAGATGTCCCTCTTTGCCTTTGAATAGCTAGCTCGGCTTTGGAATTGCCTTTAGTGTTGCTTTTAGGTGCTGATGAGGACTCTGGGTGAGAACATTGGGCCTATTTTTTCAGGTCCATGGATCTCTCATCTCTTGAAATGAGTCCAGATCTCATTTCCTTCTTGCAGACCTGCCCCTTCTTCCCCTTTCTAGCTGGCAAAGAAGCAGTCTGCTTCTTCCAGGTTTCAGAAACTGCGGTCATTTGATGGTGCAATAAGTCAGCCTGTGTTTTGTTACAAGCAGCAGAAAGCTCCGGGGATCCTGCCTAGAAGGGAGCTGGGCCAAAAGATTGGGTTAAAAGGGGGTGGGAGGGGTAATCCGTTTGATCCAACTTCAAATCCCACCACTGACTCCTTTGAACAAGGGCTATCAAAGGAAGCCCTCTCCCAGCGAGCTGTGTGAAATTGGAGACTCCACTTACCTTCTGCCTCTTAAAATTAGGCAAGCCCTCCACACAGCAAGAGAGTAAGTGGCAAGCGTGCGGACAGCTCTTTCTGAGCTGGATGATTTAGTGAAGCAGCTGTGGGGGATACAGGAGGGGGGATTTAAAAGAAGGACCCAGTGGACTGAGGGAGGACTATTCACCCCCTGTTTGTAATGCTGGTATGAGCAATATTGGTTGAGAGGTGGAGGGAGGAGAGCTTGCTGTTTTTAAGGCTTTGAGCTTTTTTGCCATGGAGGCAGTGGGGAGCCTTTGAAGACAGGTTCTCCCACCCCATTTCCCACTCAGGGCCTGGGAAGGGACTTAGGCTAGTACAATGATCTGGGAACAGCCAATATCCAGTTGCTGTTTGGCTCTGCACTTCCAGGGAAATGTGAGCTGTCTGTTTCTCATTACTTTGCTCTTATCACATCAGGCTGTTCTTGTGGGGAAGCAGTTTCATTTCCAAGAAACCTGCTTTACTTCTCTTCCCTTGAAGTACTCCAAGCTCTTGCCTCCTCCCGCTTGCCTACCCCTCCCTCATCATCTCACCTTTTATTCCATCTGCTAGTGACCCAATTTCTTCCCCACCTGCGAACTAAGCTGCTACCAGCCCCGAGCTAGCACCAGAACTAGAAAATAAAAAGATTAAAGTTTGGTCAGTGACTGCAGCAGATGGTAAAATAAGACTCCCCTTCCTTGTGTTTCTAGGTTATTACTTTCTTGCCTATGGTGTTATCGAGACTGAGAACCTCAGCCCATTTTGTGGTCATAAACCAGAAACTTGGAGAAAGTACCCAGTATGTTTGCAGGTGGGACTTCTTGTAAAAGACACTTGGTAGCCCGTAGTCTGAAAGGCAGGACAAAGCAAATCACGTAGGTAAGTCCAGCCACCATGCTCCAACACCATCTCCTTCAGGACACGAAAGGGTAAGAACAGTCAAGTCCTCTACTGTCACACATGCTCCATGAGGACCTGGGGACCTTCTCAGCAGGAAGGACCAGCTGGATGGCTGCTTCTTGCTCAAGCGTCCCTCGGTGAGACCCAGTGTGGCCAGCATGGTGAAACCCTGTCTTGACTAAAAATACAAAATCAGTCAGGTGTGGTGGTGCGCGCCTGCAATCCCAGGTACTCAGGTGGCTGAGTCAGGAGAATCGCTTGAACCTGGGAGGCAGAGGTTGCCGTGAACTGGGATCGCACCACTGCACTCCAGCTTGGGCAACAGAGTGAGATTCCATAAAAAAAAAGCAAAACTCTATCTCAAAAAAAAAAAATTAAAGTAAAATTGTACCCAATAAATGTACACTTGGGGAGCCCCAAGTGCCTCTCTCCAAGTTCCTATCATGTGTACTTGCTTTTATTCTTACTTTCTTCTTTCTGTCTCTCACCTTTTATCTGCCCCTGCCTTTCTTCTATCATTCCCACCTTGTTAAAAAAAAAAAAAAAAAAAAAAAAAAAAAAAAAAAAAAAAAAAAAAAACAGAAAGAATGAATAAGGCCTACTATTTGATAGCACAATTGGGTGACGGGTGACTATGGCTGACAATAACAACTGTACCTTTTAAAATAATGAGTGTAATTGGATTGTTTATAACTCAAAGGATAAATGCTTGAGTTGATAGGTACCCCATTCTCCATGATGTGCTTTTTTCACATTACATGCCTGTAACAAAACATCTCATGTACACCATAAATATATAGACCTACTATGTATTCACAAATTTTTTTTAATGAAAATATCTTCCCTATCTTTTCCTAGAGTTTCACTCATGACTGTCATTGAAGGGTTCACTGAGTTCGGCATCAGCCAGGGTCCACTGAGATGTCCCTGCTCTTCAGCTTTGGGTCCACTGAGATGTCCCTGCTCTTCAGCTTTAAGGACGATCACTTCAATTCTACTCATGCTTATGCCCGGCCCTGTGAAGATTTGAAGTCCTCCTCAGGTTGTCTGTGAATTCCTGAAGAGGTAGATCCCTTTAGTCTACTCTGGCTCTGAACTCCTGCTTCCACTGAGCTAACCAACCATGAAGGTTGCTGGTTCTGTGCCTGCTATGCTACTTCTTTCTATGCCAGAATCACCAAGGATAAGAACCCGACACCTCCCTCAGTTTAAAAACAACTCTCCCCCCAGGCCCATGTATGTGAATAGATGAAGAGGTTCACATTGGAGAACCTCACACAGCTTCCAATTGCATACAGATATCCCTTTGTGTGAAATGGTCAAACCACACTTGCAGATTATTCATAGACTCCATGACCCCAGAAGCCCCAGCCTCACCCACTTCTCTGCCCCCGTTTCCTCTTTCCGTTTCTCTTCTTCACCAGCTTGTTTGTGGATAAGCCTTTGTAATGACAAAAGGGCCACCCATTTTAACAGATCTATCTTCCTTACAAGGCTGTTGTAAATATTGAATTTTTTTAAACTGTGATTTGAAAAATTATAGTTGTATACATTTATTGGGTACAATTTTACTTTAATTCTTTTATTTTTGAGATAGAGTTTTGCTTTTTTTTTTTTTGATGGAATCTCACTCTGTTGCCCAAGCTGGAGTGCAGTGGTGCGATCCCAGTTCACGGCAACCTCTGCCTCCCAGGTTCAAGCGATTCTCCTGACTCAGCCTCCTGAGTACCTGGGATTGCAGGCGCGCACCACCACACCTGACTGATTTTGTATTTTTAGTCAAGACAGGGTTTCACCATGTTGGCCACACTGGTCTCGAACTACTGACTTCAGGTGATCCACCCCTCTCAGCCTCCCAAAGTACTAGGATTACAGGCCTGAGCGACCACACCCACCCATTTTTACTTTAATTTTTAATTATAAAATATTTCAGGCATTTAGAAAAGTACCCTGGTATATTTTAAGATTTAACAGATTTAAATAAGATATAATGGATGCTAAAATGTTGCTATTTTTGCTTCAGGTCTCTCTTTCTTTCCCACCCCCAGCATTCCCCCCCACCAAACAAAAAAATAAAATGCTTTTCATGCAGCTAAAGCCTAGAGCCATCCCTTTCCTTCCCTCCCACCTCCTTTAGGATTAACCAGTATCCAAAAGTTATCATGTATCCAAGTTATCAGTATCCAAAAGTATCATGCATGTTTTTGTACTTTCATTATATATAAATGTTTCCATAAACAACATACAGTATTGTTTGGGGCATTTAAAAGTATTTGCTTAAACGGTGTATCATAGTGGATGCTGAGAATGAGCTTTACGAGCAAGAACAACATCATCTTACTCGGTTTCCATTTCTTACAATCTCAGCCTTGAGCCCAGTGGCCCAACATCTTGTAGGTACTCCATAAATATCTTCTGAATACACTGCATTACTTCGTAGTGCATCCAAATCATCAATAATAAAGCATGCCAAATTAAGAAGTGACCCAAGATAGGCAGTTATTTATATACTTTTCAATTTTTGGCCAAAGAAATTTCAATAACTATGAATAACTGTTCCCATATAGGTACATTCTTTCAGAGATTAAGCGGGGGCTTTATAAATGCCTCACTAAGAAAACTTCTATTCACAAGGCCCAATGCGTCTCCTTCTACATGGCCCTCATTCAATGAGATCCCCTGAGACTGAAGTTCTTAGCCCATATCCTCCTATTCCCCAAACTGCTGACTTCATGGATGAGTACAGCCTCTCCTCTCCTCCTACCCTGAGTTCATCCCCTCAAATGCCAAGAAGACTATTTGATGTTACTACCTCTGGAGCAGCCAAGGACACCAGCTGTCATTCAGTAATGGGTAGGGCTCACTTCCCTATGGTATTATTTATTCATCCAGACTGTGAGAAGCAGAATCCTTCAGACTCTTGGCTGCAATTCCCTGTGAGGCAGAAACCGCACCCAAGGCAATGGTGCTGGGAGCTGCTGTAACCTCTCCTTACTCTGATCTTCAGTAGAGGGACTATATCATTTATCTTCTAAACTCTTACAACTTGGGAGTAAAGATGGAGCCATTAATGACTATGCCAGGTTAATAGACATCAATAAAGACCACTTTTGGCAAATCAGGATGTATGATCACCCTAAAACAGCAATCCTGTGTCAAAGCTGATCACAGTATCCCTTCTTATAAGGTGCCTCAAGTGATATACCATCCAGAGCCTCAGGAAATAATCCCCTCAGTCCCTCTTCCAGGATAGGTCTAATGATGGACGAGTTCATTCTCTTATGGCAGCATGTGAAGACCTAATCCTAATATTGTTAAGTTTGGGGAGAAGGGACAGCTTTTTAGCAGAGAGAGTAATTAAACTCACTTCCCGTTTCTTTTTTCTTTCTCCACTAGGATGAAATTAGAGCCAACTCTTCCCTCCCAGTCCTCTGAAAGTTTGCAGAGAAATGACAACATATGTCAGACAAGTATAAATCAGAGGAGAAAAAAAATAAGACCATGGATGAAAACTGTGACTCTGAAGCAGAGTTTATTTGGCATCAACACTAGTGTTTACTGGGTGACCATATGGTTGCATGAATAAGAGCTTTAATATTAGATAAATCTGTTTGAGTTTCAGCTTCACCAGTATCTTCATAAGACCTTAGACAAATTCACACCTATCATCCTATTACTTTGGAAGGCCAAGGCGGGAGGGTTGCTTGAGCTCAGGAGATTGAGACCAGCCTGTGCAACATAGCAAGATCTCATCTCTATGACAAAATTTTAAAAATTAGCCAGGCATGGTGGCACATGCCTGTAGTCCCAGCTACTAAGGAGGCTGAGGCGGGAGGATCTCTTGAGCCTGGAATATCAAGGCTGCAGTGAGTTGTGATTGTGCCACTACACTAGGTGACAGTGCAAGACCATGTCTCAAAAACAAAAACAAAAACAAAAAAGAAATAAAAGAACTGAAGGGGAGAGAAATGCAGTCACACGTGGGTCTAAAAAAAAATTGTAGGAGAACACAGAAAGTGAGGGAAAAGTAATATTGAAATAGAAATCAAATAATAACTTTTTCAGAACTTAAGAGTGACTTCAATTCTTACATTAAAAGAGCATTTCTAGCACTGAAAAGAACAATAAAATTCTCCTACATATACTACAGGGAAGTAACAAAATATGAAAAGCAAAGAGAAAGCATCCATATCACCTAGAGGAAAGAGATTACTCACAAAAGAATGACCATTACACAGAAAAGTCTCTCCATTAGTTATAATAGATGCCAGAAAACAGTGGAGTGATTTCTGCAAAGAGCTAAGGAAAAATATTTGCCCATCTAGATTTCTACACTCAAATTCTCAGAAAAAAAATAGGTTGCCATGGACCAGCAACCTCGTTTTCCAGGACCCCTATCTGTAGCAGAGAACTATTTTCTTTCTTTTGCTGATTAAATTTCCACTCTTAACCTCATTCATTGTGTGTCTGCATCCTTGATCTCCGTGGCTGTGAGACAACAAACCTCAGGTATTACCCCAGACAATGAGACCACTTCAACAGGAGACTGGTAAAAAAAGAGACAATCAAGGAATGGACAATTGTTGATGACGTGTGCTAATTAAATAAATAACGCTTTATCATATCCACTTTATAAATGAGAACAGCATTGTGATTACTCCCAGGGACTGTGTTCTATCTTCAGTGGCCGCCTGATTTTATCCTCACAATTTAAATGGAAGGAATTTTGAAGAAAAAAAAAATCTTGAGGGTTAAGCTTTCAACATACGAATTTAGAGGGGGACAAAAATATTCAATCTATAGCAGGGTCTAAAAGCACAATTGCCCACTTAATTTCTAATTGATAGAGTAATATTAATATTTGATATATACAGTTTACTTGTTAAATGCAGTTCCAACCCCTTCACATTTTTGGATTACGGCACTCTTTAATCTCTCATTAAAAATAAAAGCACACCTCTTTTGAACTCTAATAACCCTCCAGATGCTGCTCCATTTCTCTGTACATTTTATTTGTTTAAGGGTTGTCTACAAATGTTGTGTCCACTTATTCATTCTCCACTTTCTCGTTCCTCACTACAATCTGAGTTTCACTTCCACCACTACACAGCACTTACTCTTGTCTAGGTTACCTGTAATCTCCATGTTACCAAATCCTATTTCTGCCCTCATTTCAGTTGATTTCATAGCAGCACTCAATACAGTGCATCACTCCTACGGTATTGGAACCCCCTTTTATGACACTCGTCGTTCTTGGTTTCATTATACACCGTTGCCTACTTCCGGCCTGTCTCCTTTACTACTCTTGTTCTCAATCTTTAAATGTTGACACTTCTCAAACCCCAGCGGCACCACTGCTTCTTTTTCTATACTCATTCTCCTGATGTAACCCAGTAGTTCTTAACAGGGTGTGATTTTGCTCCCTGGAGGACATTTGCCAATAGCTAGAGATATTTTTTACTCTAACAACTGAGAGTATGTCACTGGCATCTCAAGGTCAGAGGCTAGAGATACTACTAAACATTGATGGTGAGCATACAATCCTAAAATGCACAGCACGGCCTCCCACAACTAAGAATTATCTGGTCCAAAGTGCTGCTGGTACATTAAGAAACCCTGTACATTCAGTACTTTGCCTTTTTTACTGTCTGTGGCAGACAGTATGTCTTGTCTTCTGGTATCTATTCTCCGCTTCTTTTTAGTAATGGAATTGACATCTCATCAGGTGGCCTACAGCCATCCAGTTTATAGACTCTATGTTACAGCCTCTCTTGCAGCTAAGTAACGTGTTACTCCGGGGTCTTTTCCTTAAGAAGACGGTGCTATCTTTTCCCTTTTTCTGAATGATAGGACATGATCTTGGTCCTAGCAAACCAATTTCCACCATACAGAGAAAAATAATATTCAAAGGATGACAAATAAAATGAAAGTGCCATGAATCCCTGAATGACCTTGTGGAGTGGAGCTTTCTAACTAGACCACCCACCTATCTCTGAACCATGACATGAATGAGAAAGAAACTTGTGCCTTGTTTGATCCACTATATTTGGGTACCTCATTTAAAAAATCTTATTTGATTATCTCCCACTGACACACCATCTATATAACTGATAGAGCTATAATTTGTAATTATGACCTTGAGTTCTTCTCTAAACTCCAGATTTATAAATTAACTACCTACTTGATATGTATTCTTGCATATTGCCCAGAATCCCAAAGTACATTTTCGAAATGAAGCTCTTGATTTCACCACCAAACCACCCCTCTTTCAGCCTTTCCTCCACTCAATACATGGCTGGAAATTATAAGTCATCCTTCATCACTCTCTCTCAACCCTCAATCTATGCCTTTATTTTTGCTCCCAAAGTAAGCATGATACATGCCCATTTGCTTATGGCTATTTCTACCATCTTGGTTCATGCCACTACCATCTCTCTCCTGGACCATTGTGATAGCCTCTGCACCAGGCTTCCTGTATTTTCCTTTGCTTCTCCGATTCATTTTCCACAGAGAAGCTGGAGGAAATCTTTCTAAAATAACAATCAGATAATCACATGCCTTTCACAAGACTTTTCAATGTCTACCTAATGCATTTAAAATAGAACTCATAATTCTTACCCAGAGTCTACAAAGACCAGCATAATCTAATACAGCTTCATCTTGGGCCACTCTTGCCCTTTACACCTGATGCCCAAGCCATGCTGGTCTCCTTTCAGTTCCTCACACAAAGCTCTCGCCTGCCTCAGCACCTTCACTCATACTTTTCCTTCCGTCTTAAGTGCATTGATTCCTGCTTTCTGCATAGTTGACCCACCTCCTTCTGCAATTTCCTATCTTCAGAGATGCCTCCAGCGTCATGCCAAATCAACTTCTTCCCTCTCCCCTTGTTATTCTCTGTTAATGTGCCCTGCTTATTTCTGGAACTTATCACTAATTATTATTATATACATATACTTATGTGTATGTGTTGTCTATCTCTCCCACAAATACATGGATTCTGGTTGTTTTATTCACCAATATGTTTCTGGTATTAACATTGCCAGGCACACAATAGGTACTCAAGATTATGTGAGTGTGACTGTGTGTCTCAGTTGTTTATTTATATTTATTGAATGAAATAATGTTTCAACAAAGCATGGTTTACCCTGGATATCTCCCCATAAATTCTATCCAGTTGAAAGCAGGATACAAGGAACATTAAGGGCAGCTTGAAAGGGGAAAGAGTTGCACTCAGATGACATGAAACTTAATGAAAGATGATTAGACACAGCAGAGGGTTGCGTGAGAGGGTAAAACATGATGCTGACTTGAGAATATAGATCTTTGCTCAAACCAGCATTCAGTTCCAGTAAGAAGAGAATGTAAAACAGGTCCAACTCTTAGAGGCTAATTGATTAAGACAGAAGTTAGGAGGAAAAGAAAGAAAGAAGGACAGGAAGGGGAAAAGAAGAAAAGAGAAGAGAAAGCACAGGATGTTCTTAAAGTTTTTATCCTCAATCAAGAGCAATGTAACAGCAAGGAAGAGGGAAATTTAATGAAATACTTGGAAAACTTTATTGCTGGAACTAAAGTGATCTGTACGGTCTTTGAGAAAGATCTTATTGAATAGTTGGCTGCCAGTCTGTCTCTGATGATAAACATTGTCTGTGTGTAAATTATTTATGTCTTTTTTTTTTTTTTTTTTTTGGAGACAGGGTGGTGCTCTGTCTCTGGTGCCCAGGCTGGAGAGCAGTGGTGTGATCATGGCTTACTGAAGCCTTGACCTCCCAGGCTGAGGCAATCCTCCCACCTCAGCCTCCCAAGTAGCTGGGACTATAGGTGCACGTCACCACTCCCAGTTAATTTTTTAAATTATTTGTAGAGAAGGGATCTTGCTATGTGTCCTACACTGGTCTCAAATTCCGGGCCTAAGTGATCCTCCTACCTTAGCCTCCAAAAGTGCTGGAATTACAGGCATGAGCCACCACATCTGGCCTCATGTCTTTTTTTTTTTCAGCGAGAACTAGTCATACCACTTTCTTCCCCTTTTTCTGACTCTGCCTAGAAGACCCATCCCACTCACAGTCTCACCGCCCACACACACACCCATTGTGCAGGACTTCTCCAACCTGTGGCTGGTTTCACAACTTGCCGACATTGATCTGAGACGCCAGTGTTGGCTGTATTTTTCTGGTTTTCTTCCAAAGGGCAACAGCACCTACAGAATGAGTACCATCAGAAACTAACATTATTCCCAGGTCTGTTATATACAAGGTATTTTACTGATGTAAGACAGTCAATCCCTTAGAAAATCCAATAAGAAAAGTATTGCTCTCCCCACTTTATGTGTGTGGAAAGTAAGGTTCAGAGAAGTTACGTGCTTTTTTCAGTCGCACGGCTAGTGAGCATCTGTGTGTGCTCTGTTTGATCCCAAGCACATGATCTCTTCTCTGCATATGGTACATCTCAGCTACAAGGCAGAAATTTTTAGATACATAAAACTACCTCACTACAGTCCAAGTGATCTTTTCAAAAATGTAGACCTAATCCTATCCATCCCCAGCTAACAATACTTCCTAAAATAGTCCCTTACTACCTAGAGTTTACGCCACTCCCTCTCCTGGAAATACCCTTCAGCTCTAAATCTGCACCCAAACCCACGTACACACGTGTATACACTCACACTCACTCATACACACACACATACACACACACACACACACATAATTCAGTTTCATTTAAATAACTACAGTCATGTGTCACTTAACGACAGGGATACAGCCTGAGAAATGTGTGATTAAGTGATTTCACTGTTGTGCAAACAGCATTGAGTGAACTTACACAAACCTAGAAGGCATAGCCTCCTACACACCTAGATTATATTGTATAGTCTATTGTTCCTAAGCTACAAACCTGTACAGCATGTTACTGTACTGAATACTGTAGGCAAATGTAACGCAATGGTATTTGTGTATCTAACCATATCTAAACATAGAAAAGATTCAGTAAAAATACAGTATCATAATCTTATGAGACCACCATATATGCTGTGGATAGTTGGCCAAAATGTCATTATGCAACATATGACTAAACTTCCTTTCCATGTTTACCATACCCTAAACCAGTAGTTTACCAACTGCAGGGTCTGCACAAATTATCTGTGAATATTGCTAAAATGTTTAATTTTCAAGTCTTACCCTCAGAAATTCAGTATCCATAAATCTGAGGAAGAAGTCAAAAATCCACATTAAACAACCACTTGAAATGAAAGAAAATAAAGTTCTTATTCTCATGGAGCTTACGATTTCACTGGAGTAAAACCAAAAAACAAACCAATGGACATATGGTATATCGGGTGGCAAAGAATAATAAATAATGTAAAAAAAAAGTGATAGGAAGCTATTGTATTATTTATTTAATATTTTCTCCTTAAAGGAAATGGTTTTATCTATCTTCTTCACTGCTTCATACCAAGTATCAGGGGTCTAGCACTCATCAAACATCTGTTGAGGTAGGAGTAGGATTACTTTCCACATGCTAAAATAAGGGTCCACATCATAGCTTTTGTAAAGTTATGAATAATGACATGATGCCTAATGCTGCCACCTAGAGCAGCCTATATAAGCATTCCAAAGCAGAAGTCAGTGGTGCAGAGCCAAAGAACTTAACTTTTGTTTTGTTTATTTTGTCCTGTTTTGTTTTTGAGACAGTCTCACTCTGTTTTCTGGGCTGAAATGCAGTGGCACGATCTCAGCCCACTGCAGCCTCTGCCTCCCAGGTTCAAGCAATTCTTCTGCCTCAGCCTCCCGAGTTGTTGGGCTTACAAGCACACACCACCATGCCTGGCTAATTTTTGTATTTTTTGTAGAGATGGGTTTTGCCATGTTGGCCAGTCTGGTCTTGAACTCCTGGCCTCAAAGTTATCTGCCTGTCTCAGTCTCCCAAAGTGCTGAGATTACAGATGTAAGCCCGAGCCACCTTGCCTGGACTGGAACTTAAGTTTTATCACAAAAATAAAACAACAGTTTTATGCACAGCCAAGATGGAGTAGCAGGTGATTGGATTTACTCTTTCATTAAACAACTGGAAAAAAATAAACACATAAAAGTGGTTTTCAAGCAGTAGACATCAGGCACTATAGGACAGAGATACTTGAAACTCAGGAACAAACAAGGTAATCACTGTTGCCCCAGCTTACCACAGGTATGTGGAACCCACGCAGAGCCCAGCCATCACCCTGAATTGAGGAGAGATAATTGGGTGTCTGAGAAGGAAAAAGGGCTAGGATTTGCAAGATAGATCCCTGGAGAGAAAGTGTATGCACAGAGAAAAAGATTGAGCTCCAGAAATATTCAAAAAGTCCACCTCAAATTTTCAGCTGAGTATTGACCAGTGTATACATGTGAAAAAAATGCATGAGACTGGAGAAGGAACATCCCCAAAAGAGCACAAGTAACCATTCCTGGGGCTTACAAAGCCAAGAATAGTTTGTGTTCTTACCAGGCAGAGTAGAACACCTTGTAATTCATAGTCCATTAGGTGGAAGATTCAGAAAGGTATTGCCTCAGTAAAAGGAAAATTTAGCTCAAGATCAAAGGGCACTCTAGTTCTACCTTAAAATGCTTAAAAGCAAACCTCAAAAAGATCAAACTACTTGCTAATAATGTAAATGTGTTCCAAAGCTAGGTAAAAATATTTATTAGAATATAAAAATACAAGATATAGAATATAAAGATAATCACCGCCCAATAATTACACAATATCTGGTATCCAATCAAAAATTACCAGGCATGCAAAGAAGCAAGAAAAGATAGCCTATGCTGAGGAGAAAAATTAATCAATAGAAACAGACCCAGAAAAGACAAATATAATACAATTAGTATATGAAGACATTAGGATAATCATTATTATGATATTCCATATGTTCAAATGGTAGGTATTAAGGTTAACCATTATTTACAGGTATATAAAAAATATTTTCCAAAAGATCCAAATTAATCTTCTAGACACAAAAACAACAGTTTATGAGATTAAAAATGTACAGTATGGAATTAGTAACAGATTACACATTGCAAAAGAAAATACTGGTAAACTTGAAGATACAACAATAGCAACTATCCAAAATAAAGTACACACACATATACACATACACACACACACACACACACACACACACACACACACACAGGCACAGCAGACAAAAAATAAACAGAGAACAGAGCATTAACAAGTTGTGGAACAACTTCAAGAGGCTTAATACAATGTAATTGGAATCCCTAAAGGAGAAGAGATAGAGGAATAAATAGGAAAAAATATTTGAAGAAAATAAGTGCATTTTTCCCAAATATAATGAATGCTATAAACTCACAGATTTAAGAAGCTCAATTAATCTAAAGCACAAGAAATATAAAGAAACGTAAACCATAGAACATCATAAACATGAGGCTTAAAACCAGGGATAGAAATCTTGAAAACAGCCAGGCAGAAAAAGACGTGTTATATATAAAGTAATATAAATAATAACGGCTGACTCCTGCTCAATAACAATGCAAGCCAGAATACAATGGAACATCTTTAAAATGCCGAAAGAAAAAAAAAATCCTCACAACTTAAAATTCTAAACCTGATAAAGTACCATTCACAAAAATGTATAATAAAGACTTTTTCAGACTTACAAAAGAGGCTGGGTGCAGTGGCTCATACCTGTAATTCCAGCACTTTGAGAGGCTGAGGTGGGTGGATCACATGAGGTCAGGAGTTTGAGACTAGCCTGACCAACATGGTAAAACCTTGTCTCTAAAATACAAAATTAGCCAGGCATGGCGGTACATGCCTGTAATACCAGCTACTCAGGAGGCTGAGGCAGGAGAATCTCTTGAACATGGGAGGCGGAGGTTGCAGTGAGCCGAGATCCTGTCATTGCACTCTAGCCTGGGCAATAAGATCAAAATTCTGTCTCCCAATATATACATATATAAATATATACGTGTGTGTGTGTGTGTAAGATTAATCAACAGAAGATTGGTTTAAGTCAAAATAAGAAGAATGTAGTATGAGATGTATCACTTAGGTAGAAGTAAAATATATGGCAAAAATAACACAAAGTTAAGGCAAGGGTGAATAGAATTATACTGTTGTAATAACTCAAAAGAAGGCACAAAATAGGAATAAAAAATTGATAATACAAATACAAAACAAACAGCAAGATAGCATATTTAAACTGAAGCACAATAATCATCAATCATCAATTACTAAATGTAATTAGTTTAAACATCTCAAAAGAGATCCTCAAATTAGAAAAACAAAAGGCAATTTTATGTGTGTATATATGTCTAAATTTGTCAAATTATACACTTTATATTCTTGGTTTAGTGTACATCAATTATAGCTTAATAAAGATTTTAAAACAATCTAGTGTTTGGTAGCAGAATAGGGTGATTATAGTTAACAATAATGTATTGTATATTTTGAAATAACAAAAAGAGTAGAATCAGAATGTTTATAAGACAAATGATAAATGCTTGTGGTGACGGATATTCCTATTACCCTGACTTGATTATTACATATTGTATGCCTGTATCAAAATATCACATGTAGCACCATAAATATGTAAAATTATTATGTATATATAATAATTACAAATAACTACAAACTATATTTTTAAATATATAAAATTATATTTAAATTTAAAAAAATAAATTAAGAATAATAATTAAATAAAATAGAATAACGCAAAGGAAAAGTGGACAGGATAAAAGGGCTGAGAATAGAAAATGTAGTAGGGAAGGTCTTCACAGAGGGACTCTATAGAAAGCTGTAGACCGAAAGTCAATCACATCATTCATGAATTCAAGGTGACTGTAAGGAATTCATTGAAGACAAAGTAACCACGTGTTTTCTAAATTGAGCCGAGTCACAGGAAGCCAAAAGTGTTTTCAAAGGCACTTTTCCAACAAGTTATTCATTAAAAGGATGTTGACAGATGATTCAAGTGTCTAGTTCAAAATCTCACTTCAAAGAGGAATCTATTCAAGAGTCTGTCTTCCTAAGAAATGGTGTTCTAGCTCTGCACTGACAAGGGGCTCTCCTGTTAGATATGAATCATTAAATTCATCTTATTTTTGACCTTTAGAATGAGGCTACATTAATCTGCTCCCTCTCCCACTTGGTAGCCCTTCAAATATTTCAGATCATATTATCTCTTCTCTAGGTTAATTGTCTATGATAAAATTAACCATTCCTTATAGGACCTGCTTCCAGAAATTCTTACCATTCTAAACACTTTTGTTTTAATATACTTCAGCTGAAAATCTCCCTTTTAAAAATAGAGTACTATACTCAGAATGAGCACAAAATTCTAGGTGTGGTCTGATGTTTTAAAACTTAAATTTTATACATTGCAACCTATAAATACATTTGTTTTCTTAATAACATAGGCAAAATGTGTGTCAAATATACACTTTAAACTTTCAACTTGTTTTCATGAGAACAGTTAACCAGGATAGGAGTCTTCATCCTAACTTCTATAATCAGCGTGTTGAACCTCAGTGCAATATTTCATATTTGGTGATATTATATGCATTCTCATATGTGCAGGTTTACTTCACATCTTTTATTTTAATTGTTTATTTCATTTTTAAGATGTAGTTTTGCTCTGTTGCCCAGACTGAAGTGTAGTGGTGCAGTCTTGGCTTACCGCAAACTCTGTGTCCTGGGTTCAAGCGATTCTCTTGCCTCAGCCTCCTGAGTAGCTGAGATTACAGGCACCTGCCATCACACTTGGCTACTTTTTTGTATTTGTACTAGAGACAGGGTCTCGCCATGTTGGCCAGGCTAGTCTCAAACTCCTGACCTCATGATCCGCCTTCCTCAGCCTCCCAAAGCGCTGAAATTATACTTTCAATGTATTATTTATTTCTACTAATTTTGCATCTTTTTTGACCATGACTTGCAAGAAATAAGATAAATTAGAAGGAATCCTAATTAGAAAAGCAAGTTAAGCAGCCAGGTACAATATTTCTATCAATAGCTATTTGATATTACAATGTGGAGGAAACATTAGATATTCACCTGCCAAAACAAAACATTGAAATCAAATATAAAATAACTAAGTCAAGTAGTCAGCATGTGAGAATCAAGTCCTGACTCCCCTAAAGAATAAGTATGGTGGAAGAACATACCTATTTATCTCTCTTTCCATTCATCTTCTAAAGAGGAAGAAAATAAAGGAACTAAATAGATATAAATTAAAATTATATAAATACACAGGAATAAAAAGAATGGTAGGGATGACTATAGTATATAAAAGATGTCAGCTAAATATTGGAACTTGAAAAGAATTATTAAGTAGTAATAGGCTTAATAGATCTGATAGAAATCAAGGTTACAGAAGAGAAAGCCAAGAAGATTCAAGTAACTCATTTCATAAAACCTCAGAGGCTCAGAATATTGTGTCATCAGCTTTCTCAAAACATCAAGACGAAGGATGGGATTTCAGGGTTATATAGGAAGGAGTTATACTCTCCACCTTCCTCCACCATTCAGCAAACTAGTTACCTATCCCTTCTTCAGTCTAGCAAAAAAAAAAAAAAAAAAAAAGAAAGAAAGAAACAGGAAGTTTGCTGTTTGGAGAATAACCAATCAGCTCTCTTCTTCCACTGGTTTCCCAACATTGGTAGCCAGGCTTGTAACACCTAGTCAGGAAATTGGAGAATAACTCTATGGAGAAATTGAGAGGCTCAGGATTTTGGATAATTCCCCAACAAATCAGACAGGTCCATTCCTAGTCTCTCTAAAATGAAGTCAACAAGCTCTAGCCCACCCATAGAGATTATTAGATTTTCTAAGAAATAACTCAAGAAAAAAATGCCCTGGCACTGAAAGATGGGATCTATAGGTTATAAGGAACCAGCACAAATGCTCATCAATCAATGAGTGGATAAAGAAAATGTGGGGTGTGTGTGTGTGTGTGTGTGTATACCGTATATATATATGTGGTATATACACCATGGAATGCTACTCAGCCACAAAAAGGAACAAGATGATGACATTTGCAATAACCTGGATGAAACTGCAGACCATTTATTCTAAATGAAAAATCTCAGGAATTGAAAACCAAACATTGTATGTTCTCAATTCAGAAGTGGGAGCTAAGCTATGTGGGCGCAAAGACATAAGGATGATGCAATGGGCTTTGGGAACTTGTGGGGAAAAGGTGGCAAGGTGGGTAAGGGATAAAAGGATATACATTCCATACAATGTACACTACTTGTATGATAGGTGCACCAAAATCTCAGAAATCACCACTAAAGAACTTATTCATATAACCAAACATCACCTCTTCCCCAAAAAACCTATTGAAATAGAAAAGAGAGAGAAATTTACAGATTAGAATATTGCACTGAGTATCCAGCACAATTAATTTTTTAAAGACCCACATTAACACACATCATTGTGAAAATTCAAATCCAGAGAAAAAAACAGTATATATAAAATTTTGTGAATAATATTAATATTAGTCTTCTTTTTTTGAGACAGAGTCTTGTTCTTTCGCCAGGTGCAAGGCTGGAGTGCAGTGCCGCGATCTCGGCTCACTGCAACCTCCACCTCCTGGTTTCAAGCAATTCTCCTGCCTCAGCCTCCCAAGTAGCTGGGACTACAGGTGCTCACCACCACACCCAGCTAATTTTGTATTTTAGTAGAGTTTCATTATGTTGGCCAGGATGGTCCCGATCTCTTGACCTCATGATCCACCTGCCTCGGCCTCCCAAAGTGCTGGGATTACAGGCATGAGCCACCACACCCAGCCAATATTAGCCTTCTTTACAGGAACTCTTGAAGCTTAAAGACATAGAAATAATGTCTCCAAGATTCACAGCAATAGTCAGTTTCCACATAGAATTCTCTACACGAGCACATATGCATGTATAAACACGCTATTAATCATGTAAAAGGGTAGAATAAAAGTGTTTTCAGATATGTGAAATACTATCTCAAGAAATTTAACAGTCAAGCACTCCATCTAAACAAGTGACTGGAAAATATACCCTACAAAATGAGAACGTAGCCCAAGACAGAGGATCCTGGAAATAGAGGATCTGACACAGGAGGGAGAAAAAAATCCCGTATGAAGTTAGAGAAGTCGCAGGATGTTAGCTGGTCATCAAGCCTAGAGACCTGTCAAGATTGGCACAAAAGAATAGAAAGTCCCAACAGGGGTGACTCCATGAAAAACAAAAATAGAACTGATAGACTATCTGAAATGTTTGACTGTGCTGACAAAAACTGTTCAACTAATAGAATATAGAATGAATTAGTGACAGAAATATGCAGAAAAGGGCTAACCAAAAATTAAGGCAATGATTAATGCTAGGTTCAGAAGAGAAACATGGAACTGTGTATTTCTTTGATTTAAAATATACATTTTAATTAAAAATAAATATATTCATCAAGGAGCAGAATCTGCCCGGTTGTTCCATTCCTTTTCTTTGTTTGAAACACTTGATCATTATTTTCTTATTTTATATATTATTTCATTCATTGATGATGGAACAAAAGATTTAGGTCCATGTATACTGGCTGAGTATGGTGGTGCATGCCTGTAGTCCCAGCTACATGGCAGACTGAGGGTGAAGGATCACTTGACCCAGGAGTTCGAGGCTGCAGTGAGTTATGATTGCACCACTGCACCCCAACCTGAATGATAGAGTAAGACCCTGTATTAAAAATTAAAATAAAAATTTAGATCCATGCATGCTAAAGCCCCTTACTTATACACATACACATACTTCTGCTAACCTCATCTTCTTGATATTACAATTTTTGGATAAGCAAAAATGCATCATTCATAGTATTATGACTATACAAATACTGTCACAGCTGTAGCTCAGGGAGTTAGGAAACTGTACAGAAAGTCATCAATAAAATAATATCTATGATTGAAAAAAATTAATACTTTTTCAGCACATTTAGAAATATGGGGGTAAAATTCAGAAGAGTCACTAGGAGTTGAAAGTTTATGGTTCTAGGGGACATGACTCAACATTAGGGAGCAGGACCCTTGTAGTTCTATTTTATTTTTTTACCATATGACTCTGTTGTTCTTTGACAATAATTTTAATTAATTTTTTAAAATTATAATCACCAAGAATCTTATTTAAAATTATAATAAAAGTTCTTTTTTATTGTTTAGAAACTTGTCCTTGAAATTAAAAATATTCATTCGAGAATCAAATAATTTATACTGTAAAATTGAAAAAGTAAATTAATGTAATATATATTTAAAGATCAGATAAATTACAATCTAGGAATTCAGAATTCTAACCCCAGACCATTTGGCCAAGGAAGGTTGGCACATTACACTTCCATTTTTTATTTCATTTTCCTGTTTATCATCATGCTTCATTTCCCAAATTATGTGGAATTCAGAGTGCATATTGGAATTTAGCATCTTTGGATCAGTAAAATCTCCTTAGTCATATTTCCTCTGTTCATTATGAACAATGAAAAGAGAGATTGAAAGAGTACTGCACATGTGTAAATATATGAGCCAGTGTTTGACCTCTAATCTGAAGCCCACCTCTTCTTGGAATCTTTCTTCACGAAGTGGGGAAAACAAGGATAAAAAGGCATTTCGGGTTACGTATTTTTATAGTTGCAACACACAAAATTATAATATGGAAATTTGTCCTTACAGATATCTGAACAATTTGTAGTGAAGAACAAATTTACTCCAAACTAAAACGCTATTTGTTTGCTGTTTTTCCTTCTATGAATAACAAAATTTAAACCTATTTCTCTGCAAAAATAATAGTTGGAAATTTTTTTTATTACTTAATCATGTAGGCTGCTGAGTATTGCTACAGGTGAGTTGAGTTAGCCAGAAAATTACCCAAAAATTTATATTCAGGGCCTGAAAAATATTATACTGAATAAGTCCAGATGTTGAAAAAAAGCAACTTAAAAACTAGTGAAAAGAGGCTGGGCGCAGTGGCTCATGCCTGTAATCCCAGCACTTTGGGAGGCTGAGGCAGATGGGTCACTCAAGGCCAGGAATTTGAGACCAGCCTGGCCAACATGGCAAAACCGCCTCTCAACAAAAAAAATAGAAAAATTAGCCAGTCCCATTACCTGGGACTACAGGTAATGCACACCTGTAGTCCCAGCCACTTGGGAGCCTGAGGCAAAAAATCACTTAAACCCAGGAGACAGAGGTTGCAGTGAGCTAAGATGGTGCAACTGCACTCCAGCCTGGGCGACCGAGAAAGACTCTGTCTCAAACAACAACAAAAAACAAACAAACAAAACTAGTGAAAATATAAACTACCCAGCAGTACTAGCATATGTTTTGAGAATCCTAGTATTTATAGTAAGGCATAATAAGAGACTGGAATCTACGATTTTCATCCTGGATCTGCCACTCATGTGTCATTTGACAACAAGGCTAGTCACGTCTCCTCTCTCTGCTTCATTTCCCATCTGCAAAATGAGAGGACCAGACCAGATGATCCACCAAGTTCCTTTCAGGTCATAGGAGAATACAAAATATACATTAAGAACATAACAAGAATTTCTTCTTTCTCTTTTTGTGCATCCTCTAGATTGATTTCTATAATTATAGGCATGCATGTGAAAACCCTACAATTTCCAAGGATCTGACTGACAATTACAGCAGGAAATGTGGTCATCTAATGTAACTCTTAAACATCATCAACAAGACTAAAAGCTTGGCTGCATCCCAATTATCCCCAAAATTAAGAGTGTGGTATCAAGAATAATCCAAAATGCTTCCACTGAGCTTTGGGATTCATTATATTTTTTGGCTTAATCTAGATTCCAAATACATTTTGGTTAATTCCGGCTAATTTAAAAATGTTGCCTTAATTACATACTCAAACCATCTAGTCTACAAATATGCCTAGTTAGATAAAAGAGATAATGTCCTTAAATTTGACATAGTCCTTGGATTTCTACACTGAGACCTAGTTACATGATCATATGGTTTGGCTTTGTCCCCACCTAAATCTCATCTTGAATTCTAGCTCCCATAATCCCCACTTGTTGTAGGAAGGACCTGGAGGGAGGTAATTGAATCATGGAGATGGGCTTTCCTGTGCTGTTCTCGTGATAGTGAATAAGTCTCATGAGATCTGATGGTTTTATAAAGAGTTCACCTGCACAAGCTCTCTCTTGCCTGCTGCCCTGTAAGACGTTCCATTACTCCTCCTTTGCCTTCTGCCATGATTGTGAGGCCTCCCCAGCCATGTGGAACTGTGAGTCCATTAAAAATCTTTTTCTTTATAAATTATGCAGTTTCGGGTATTTCTTCATGGCAGTATGAAAATAGACTAATACACAAGGTAATACCAGATAACTCTGTGTTGTCTGCCCAGCCCATAATTCCCTCTCCTCTAAGAACAGCTCTCCATTCTGAACCCCTGGGTGACAGCAATAGGACCCTGGAAGCCATGTTTTAGTCACATAACACCATTGCCTAGAACTCAGCTAACTGCACAATGGCTGAGCACAGGAACCAAATTGAGCCAATCAGAGCCCCTTCTTAGGAATTTACAGATATATCTGAAAGTAAAATCTTAACGAGGGTTCATTTATACAGACACTACATTAACTTGAGAACTGGGGCTCAGCCATTGTCTTAGGAGCATATGAGTAATAGAGACAGATTTGCAAAGACATTTGAAGAGAGAAATGAAGAGAAAAATAAAGCACGCCTGTTTTCTGGGCTCCTCATGGCTCTCCATCTCTAGTCCCTTTTGAGTCACAGCTCCATCTCTGCCGCTGGCTTCCAGAATATATTCATGTCTTCTTTCATTATCTTAAATCCTCCCTTCCTGCTTAGACTAATTAAAATTTATTTCTATTATTATCAACAAAAAAAAATGCCTGCTAAATAGGCTTTTTTCGGTAACTGAATTGAAAACTATAATGGGGATATCTTTTCAATCGCTTTTTTTTTTTTTTTTGCATTGACTTGTAGCATAACCATGCAGAGAAGTGGCTTGGCACCAGAGACTTCAGATAACTAGAACATGATTCACACTGAGGAAATTTTATCTTATTTTCTGCACCAGTCTCTAGTCTATAAAGCTTAAGCTTTATTGTATAATTAGAATGATGCACGGAATTGATAAGGTTAAATGGAGGGTCACAGCAGTGCAACATCTTATTGTAATGTACAACTACATTCCTGAATCAGGCACAGGTTAATACATAATAATTATTCTCTGGAAACAATGGCAAAGCATTCCTAGCAACAGACAAATCAAACAGCTACTTGAGTATTATGGCAGCCATTTGTTAATTACTCCCAGACAGCTGCAAAACACACACCCTCTTTGGCAAAAACTGAAACTCCACACCCCTTAGAGAAAAAAAGAGGACCAGGTACTACAATGCAAAGAGCACCAAAACAGGTGTCCACTGATGTGAACCCAAGTCTTTGCAACTATCTTCACCTCTGTTAATTTTAGCTTCTTCATCTGATTTGAGATAGAGAAAATTCAACAGGAGACCCAAAGGCCAAAGGTAGCTCAGCCGACCACGTGCTAAG